AGTGTTATACCATTTTGGAATCCTTATTAAATGCGCCAACTTTTAAGGTTACTTGCCAAACTCTCGTGGTACATTTTTTTCCAGTACAGCCAGTTAAAGTTGAGCAAAGTTTTACTTTGGAATACTTGGTTGGGAAATAAGTGGCAATTTTTCCTGAACGAGAAAAGTTGGCAGTAAGGTTGAGACACCAGTTTGAAGATGCATTATTCGTCATTACATTGTAAAAATAAAATCCAAAAAAAGTTAATATTTGTAGTAACAGTAGTTGACAGACTGCCGTAGGGTGTGAAATTTCTATATTTTTTGCAAAGACCTATAATTTTCAAAACACATACATAAATTTTTTTTAAATATTTTTCTGATAGCTGTTATGACTTTGCCTATCACCAGGTTTTGGCTTGACGTCGACTTCTGGGACACCCTATAACTTACAGCTTAGACCTCGAGTAATGCCATCTCAGAAGCAGATTTTACATCACATCAGAGCCAAAGATTGATAACAAGCCTCATGATGTTTAGGCAACACGTACAACTAAGTGCTAAGTTAACATCTTCTAGAATAACCTACATAATGTCAAGGAAAACCAGCATAATGTCAAAAAAGAATCGGCATGTCACTTTTCAAGATACGTGATACCCGTGCCGATCTATACTATGGACAGTTTAATACAAGACGATACTGTCAAACAAATTTCCTGCAAATGTACTACTGATTGCACAAACGGGTAGGTGTAGTTGAAAAAAAAACATGGGTTAGTGAATTGCACACCTTTGTGCATACATTGTAATGATGGTGACAATGACACAAAATACTACACCCTTGCTGTAATTTGAATTGACAATGATGAATACTGAGACAACCGAAGATTTATTTGAGGAAATGAGTTTCACGAATATTGAAGAAGTAGAGCATCCAAATAAAAGATTTAGAACAGAGGATCAAAATTAATTAAATAATGAAATAGTATAATAAAAAAATACATTATACAGGGTGTTAATAAAGTATGTAGACAAACTTTAACCATCGAATCCTTGGTCAATTTGAAGACGAAATTTCCATATGAACATGGGTCCGCAACGGCTTTGTTTTCAAGCTAGAGCATATTAGTACTAAAAGAAATGATGATATTGTTCTAAAAAATTATAAAAGAATGGAACGTAATTTATTTTAACTAAGTATGCCCTGCGGTGAATATCACATGATTTACAGTTGTTTTCAGACCCTCCGTGTATGTAGATACGGATAGTGTTATCCAGTATTTTTAGAAAAAATAGCATGACATTGATTTGTTTTGATTTTTAATATTGAAGCATTGTACTTATCCAAACACCTATGACGTACCCGAAAACTATTGAATTAATTTATTTTCTAAAATAGTTTGTGGCCACTTTGAACATATTTATTGTAAAATAAAACTATTCTATGTTTTCTATGGTTGTTGTCGTTGTCGTATTCGAATGTTACCGTTCAAAACTATTGACCTTCTAATTAATTTTTTTTCCAAAAATACAGGATCATGCTATTTTCACCCACGTTCATATTGAGCATCAAAAACTTGTAAAACATGCAAAATTTATCATAGGTTATACCAACTGTTCAATAAACACGTTTCATTTTTCATAGAAATATTTGGAACATTACTCGTATTTCTTTATCGATTGTTTGTAGCTCGAAATGAAAGCCGTTACGGACCCATGTTCATATGAACATTTAGTATTCAAATTGACCAAGGATTAAATGCTTTAAGTCTGCCTACATACTTTATTAGCACCCCATATAATATTGTTATAACACAAAGAATGCAGATAAAATAAATATAAATAAAACAAAAACGTGAATCAATATTTTGGACGATTTATTATGATGTATTTTGTTAACGGTATCCCAATTAACTGAATTATGAATTGTTTAAACAATTTTATTGTGAAATAATAATTATTTCATTAGCGTGAGAAGAAAGTAAATGATTTACTGCTAATTCATACTTACCTGATAGTAATTTAATTTTGTTCGTGTTAGGTTTTCTGGGATTTCCCGATTTTCCAGGAAAATGAAAATGTGCCAGACGTCATTATTTCAAATTAAAAAAAATAAAGTGTCTTCTTCGTTGCTGAGGAGCCGAGGTAATGCAAAATTTTACAGGGCGCTCCGATTTGAAAGCTCAATTTTAATAAATAAATCGAGCTAGAGCTAATTCTCCCACCACCTCACCCGGAAATACTTACGCGAGTAACTTCACTTAAGGAGGATATTCCTCAAAGGCATTTGAACTAATAGTACAATTATATATTAGATCATAAAATTTAATCCTTGATTAAAATCTGTTCATGAACAAAGGAGGAACAAGGTTTTTTAAATATACGTTTTTTAACCACCTATCCAGATCAACTTGATAGGATGAAGTATATTGAAAAATAACGAAGCTGTTGTAAATGTTTATAACAACAAAAATAGCTATTTTATGTTAATAAATAGTAAATTTTTTGTATAAATACTTCAAGTTCAAACCTACAAGAATCCATTTCACTTTTGTAAAATGTTCTAGGACCATAACTTGGGCAAGAACAGTTGTTTAAATAATTCATATCTGGGATAAACCATTAGCTTTTTACTTGAACTATTAATCAAACCAGGCTGAAATTTAGCAAACATATTAACACCAATAGTGCCCTCATTCGCACAATTTTTATCCATTTACAATTGTTATTGCAATAGTTATAAACATTAAAATATTAAAAAGCCCCGTACTTAGATTAATTGTTTATCGAATTTAAATCTGCAGCTTACCTTTTATAAAACTTAATTTGAAAATTATACAACCAAGATTTTGAATTTTGAGGTTTTCCCATTATTTATAAGAACAACATATATCTGACTCTATCTTTTTATGTACTTGTCATTAGAAAGACCCCCTTTCATTTAAAACGTTCAGATATCTCCTAAACTTTTTTACACGAAATACCTATTTTTTTTCTCTGTAGCCTGGGCTAGTATGGTCGGTAGTCATGCGATTGGCGAGCTACTCGCAGCTCGCAGTGTCAGCTTTATTTTTGACTAATACTCGTATTTGATTGTTTACCTTCTGTGATGTGTCTCTAAATGATTATATCTATGCTGTACTGATGATTACTAAAAAGCATGAAACACTGTTGTACACGGTTGAATAAGGTCGCAGAGATGGCAAGCAAATATATCCTGCTTAGCCCAGGCTTATACGGGTTCAGTGAAGCACAAGCTGGGAAATCCTGACTTAAAACGAAGGATTCAATTTCACGGAATAGTTGAGCAATTATGCTTGTTAAACAATCATTATAATTGTTAATAATAGAAGTCGACTCATAGAATGTTAATCAGACATTGATGATTGCTACTACTCCAGTAATAAAACAGAACATGCGTATAGCTAGATTTAAGCAATTGGAAAATTATTCTAACATCCACGTTTCTAAAATTCAAACATCAACAACCTCTTTTATTAAAGACAATTTTGCTGCAAGAAGCTGGACTTTCAATACCTTAAAAGATTGCTGCTACCAGAAACCATCAGACATTCCATTCAATATTTTTCCTAAAGATGACTTCCCTTTGTGTCAGTCTTTCCCAAAAATGAATTGCCATCATCCAGATCCACGAGACCTCTTTAAAATAAACGATTACAAAGACTAAGTGCCGTTGCGCGCGTTTATGGCCTCCTTGATTGTCATACTCCTTTCTCTCCTTCAAAAATTTCTAGATTACACTTGTCCCGTGTCAGCGACAGCGCTCTCCTATTGTGAAGGTATGTTTTCTTTTTAAATTGTAGGAAATTTCAGGCTGATAAAGCATGATATAACTCAAAAGCAAGCACAATTTGATCCAAATAGATGTTTGTGACATAACCTCAAAATAGAGCGCTGACACGGAGAAGTAGAAAACAATGACAATCAAGGAGGCCATAAAGGTTCCCTACAATTGTAGGGCGCGTTTATGGCCTCCTTGATTGTCATACCCTTTCTCTCCTTTAAAATTTCTAGATTACACTTGTCCCGTGTCAGCGTCAGCGGTCTCCTATTGTAAAGATATGTTTTCTTTTTAAATTGTAGGAAATTTCAGGCTGATAAAATATGATATAACTAGAAGCAAGCACAATTTGATGCAATTCGATGTTTGTGACATAACCTCAAAATAGAGCGCTAACACGGGGAAGAAGAAAACTATGACAATCAAGGAGGCCATAAAGGCGCCGTACAATTGTAGGGACGACTGACGATACGGGCCTAAATAATGACTGTTCAGGCTGTTCCAGAATAATATGTCAATTTCTCGTCAACATATAGAATACAAAAAATACTGTTAGCTATAGAAAATGTCTCATGGGGCTATCTTACGGACATACAGACCCCAAAGGCCGCTACTGGAAATCAGTTTTTCTCAACGGACGCCACTGCAGAATTAGGCGAGATTTTCTTGGTTTAGTAACTAGCTGGCGGTTCACATAATGTTGTCCATGGAAAACAATTAACTAATTTAGAACGCCAGAGACGGATTAGAGCTAACACAGTATGACTGACAATTTTGCACCCGGCATAATAACGGTTCAAAATAATATTTCTTTGTGTTCCTTTTTGGTTTCGATAGAGTTAGCCGCTTTTGAGGAAAATGAATGGAACTGTACTAAAACAAGGTGTGCCCATGTACATGTACAACCAAGCAAGCAGAGGAGCCTACTGTTGGTTCCTTGGTTCTGTTTGTCATCCCCTGCCTTGCTTGACATAATTCGCGTCACTATCAGTTAAGTATCTCATTTTCCCTCGCCTACATGCCTGGCAAACTTGCCAGGAGTGAGCTTCTAGCTATCTAGTCAATCCATCTACCACACTCGAGAATGAGGTCTCCTGTTTAGATAGCTGCCAAAACAACCACGTCCTGTGAGGAACTGTGCAGTGTAATAATCTTTCTGAAGATTTTGTAGGTGTTACACTACCAAATCTTAACGAAATCTGAGAGACAATAGCGCTCTACTGACTGGAGTATTATATTATGATTATAATGTATTTATAAGTATGTGTTGAGCACAGTAATGCATTTCAGTTACTTGCAAAGGCAAAAGCTATGATTGTGCTGTTGGTTTTAGCAGTTGCTATGCAACTGTGTGCAGCTACCCAAAGATGTCCACCTGATTATTGTGTCGATAAGGCTTTCCACTGTCCATCAGTGAGTTGTATTACAGGATCCATAATAGTCCAGATGGTTCCAGAGGCTTGTAGGTGCTGTGAAGGCTGTTACAACCGTTTGAGTAAGCATGTTTCCTATTCCATTTCAACAGTTCAACATCGTATTTTGTTGTCCAACATGCCTATCTCCTTTCCATGTCTTTAAAGCCACGATCAGTACAACTTTTGTATCCAAATTACCATAATATATTGTTATACACCAACAATCTTAAACAAACAAGTTCTACCTTTGCGAATTTTTAAGATAGTCTATGGTTTTTTCCTTCTCACTTCTATTGTGGATTCCTTATTGCCAACTAAAGTTACCCCATAGTTTCGCGAAGAGATTGGGAATAGAAAATATTATATATATATATTAATATACATTTCTTTTGTGCGTCATCCACCGGAGTATCAAGTTGTGTAAGCTGTATCTGTATAAATTTATTCGTATATGATCTCTATTCAAATTTTTCTCCAGTTCCTTAGTAAGCATGAAGGCTACATTTGCTTTGTTAATATTATCAGCATTCGTACAGATATGTGCATGGCAAGAAATGTACTTCTACATTGTGACACCAAACGTTTTAACTATCTGGTAGTACTCTCCGGGTCTGGTCCTTTTGACATGTAATAAAAGTAGCTCAGTTTTTTTGTGGAGCTTATGGCTGAACGTATCGCCCGATTTGTCCATCTGAGCCTCAAATAACTCCAACTTCATGATTAACTCACTTTTTTATGAATTTATATGTCTAAAACTATATGCAAGATACCCTGCTGACGTTTGTACTTCTATTGCTTAGCCTTAAGCGCGTCTCTTACGAATAATTCGTCCATCGTTTCTACCTAGTTGTAATCGGTATTTAGATTTCATAATCTATATACCTTGAACTCGGCTCCCAGTATAGTTCATAGTATTCCGTCTTGGCCAACAACACAGACAGGTTGCACTGTACCTTCTATTTTAAAACAAGCGCTTTTAAGTTTTCTGTTGACTTATAGAGTGTAAATCACCTCTTACGACTATATACAAATTGCACGTCGTCGACGATTTTATATTCCTTTTATATGATTGCAATTATTTGTTCATGTTCTTAAGTTTCTGACCACACAAGGAACTTAGGATTACGGACTATTTAACAGTTATTAATTTTTGTCCTCAACCAGGAGAACCCCAAAGTTCTTCAGTGTTATTCAATTTATGTTTAAGTCCAAGTTTTCACTTGAGCATCATTGATATGCTTCTTCATTTTAAATTTAGAGAATGTAAGGGAATATGTTATAAAAGCTCTCCAGGTAGTAGGTGAGTCTTCTGGACACTATTCTTCTTTTTTCAGATGAAGGTGACAATTGCGCTGACATAGAAAATGACTATTGCGATGAAGGATTGAAGTGTGTCGACAATATCTGTAAAAAGGCATAAGAATATTATCCGCAATATAAACTCCAATGCACTTATATAAATATAATAATAAACTGAAATACGAATAGTAGACGATACTTTATTTTGTGTAATATTTACAAATCTCACACGTGAGAATTATAGTTTTTCTCATGCGATATATGCATGAATAAACAACTAAGATTAACAAGGCGGATATTAAGCAACTAAAAAATGCGTTATCAGCTTACAACTAGAAAGTACATACAAATTGATGAATGATGATTTGATTTCAAGGTGACCTCCTGACTCTGAAATAAAATCTAAATAAACAGTGATTAGTTTTAGGGAACTTTGATGTATAAGTTTATCTACAAGGTCGTTAAAAATCGTCCTACTGCTATCCTATTAATCAAGCTCAAGCGAAACATGTTAAAATAGTATTATTACAAAAGATGTTTCCAAAACTTTCCAGCCAAGATATATCTATTAAAATAAGTGTCAATTGAATATCTGTTTTGGAGTCACAACTTTGGAAAAAAGAAATAGGACTGCACTAAGTACTTGATTCAAAACGTGACATAGTTAATTTATTATAAAAATATATATAATTAATGTACATATCCCACGCGGTTTCGTAGCTTGTCTTTGACTATATTTACCGATAAAAAAGCTCTTTCTACACTAACATTAGGAAACGGTAACGAGACGAGAGCTAAGGCCAAATCCGAGACATGCTAAAATCTGGGTTCTTCCATGGAATTTTTTTGTATACTCCAACTACCACGAAGGCCCATTGGGCACCGTGGGGCTATAGGGGGATACATGGGAAAGGGGGAACGCCACACGGACTCTGGCGAGGGAACACGTGTGCATGCAACATGCACAAATTCTGGCTCCGCCTACGAGATCCGCCGGGTGGTACCTCCGCGTTCGACAGTCAGAGACCGTCTACCACCTACAGACAATCACAACATCCATAGCCAAGAGAAAAATGTCTCCTGGGATGGGACTCGAACCCGCACAGCGCACGACGACTGATCAGGAGACCGAAGAGTCTACTACTGCGGCCACCGCTGCTGCCTCTTGTTTCGTGATTTCTCAACCCAAAGAGACTATATCATGTGTATGTTGCCACTGTATTCAAGCAAACATCTTCCATTCTCCAATAGTGTCGTCGATATTTTCACATATTGTTTTAGAGCTGGTTACTGATGACGTTATGCCTAGTTGCCTTACTTGGCATGTCGCATTTTCAGGCAAAAGAAAATAGTTTTTTCCTACATTTCAAGATCGCTTAGCAATATACACTGGATTTGACTACGATACTCTGTAATAAATGCTTTGCACAAATCTGGGACCTGAACAGCACCTACTTCATCCATATTTGCTGCTTCATTCAAAATTAAGGTAATCTGCCCTCATCGCAAATTCCTTGACATCTACGAGTACTGAAATCAAACCTTTGTTATGGATTTTTCCCAGGCGCAAAGGGTGATAATGCTTAAATAATCCCTTAACACTACATCTAAATCCATATGTTTCAATGAATTGGCTCTTTCTCATTGAAAGGACATATTCACCTTCATAGGTCTGATTTAACAAACCATATACCTATATTTTTTTCTTACTGAAAATATTTCATACAGGTGTGATATATAGTACCCAACTTCGAGGTTGAGTCATTTATTTTAACAGTGAGTAGATCTGATCAAAAGAAATGTTTTTTTCCTTTAACATTTTTCTGGTAAAATTAAAGTAACAAAGTTATAGCCCTTTAGAAGTTTGAGTACCGCCCTGTCTCAATAATAATATTATGTGCTCGTGTTTGGCAACAACGGATATAATCCTCCTTATCGGTTCGTCGCATCGGAAAGAAAAAAGCGAAAGACTTTGAAACGCTTATCACGATGTTTTTACTACAATTTTATTCAGTTGTATTCAGTCAATGTGTCAGACGGTAACGCGTGAGAGAATAGTGGTGTTTGTTGAGTGGCTCAAACGAAATCAAAAATGGCACATGTTTACGAAAATGCTGAATTTGTGGACATGATTCTTATTTGCGGGGGGGGGAGAGTCTTGACAAAATGCTGCCGCGGCATCACGGATTTATGCGGATCGGTTTCCCAATCGAGTGCAACCAACCGGCATGTCCCACAGGGGAGGCGCATGCCGGTGCTCCAAGACCGCACGATCAAATACAGATCCGCTCTGAAATACTTGTCAGGAGGATACTTTATAAAACAAGGTAGCATTTTTTTTTATTTTTACACACATATTTTGGTTTATCTTCCTTCTACAATCATTATCTGAAAATTAATGACTCAACTTCAAAGTCACCCTGTATATATATATATGCATTTTGGAGACGGGTTTTCTTTATATTTAGCTGATTATATAGCGGTAAATTATTTGTGTTAGAGGTGGAGGGAACAAAATAGGTTTTTTTATAATTCATAGTTGATAATTGATTATGGAACCAGTCTATCTTTACTAAATCTTTCTGAATTTCTTATAGTCTGAGTTAGGTCGAATTACTCAGCTTTCATTCGATATTTTGTGCGCTAGTGAAGCTTGCATCATAAATCTATGTAATTTTAGCTGGCGGGTTGAAGTATACGTTTTAGGATATTTTAGGACTCCTCCCTTAATAATCTCTAATAATACGTAAGATGCGACTCGACCCCTCCCCCCATACCTATCTCACGTGAGGCTTTTCAGGTTTTGTTTTAGTATGAATTCGTTGGATTTATAACATAGGTTATTTCATTATTTTGTTTAGAACTAGATAAGAACGCTTAATTACAAGTATTATTGCGTAGCACAGTTTACCTGCAGTTTCACAGTATTTCTTGCGAAACGAAAATTGCGTGATTTTGCCAAGACGCGAGATAGTGTTAGATCTACGCCCCCCGAGACCATCTATAACAAGTAGACGCGAACCCTTAGAACTAAACGTTTATAGAAGTAGGAGAAAATACCGACCACCTGGGTCCTTACCGTAATAGTGTAAATTCAGTCTAACCCGCTACTATAAAGCTACTCAATTGACAAGAAATTGCCTAGCTCCATAAAAAGTAATTAGCTCTGCAAGAGAATTAATCATCTCCTTCCAACAATTAATTTATCTGTTAGGTTGTTTTGTGGAAGTATTAAGCAATTTGTCTAAAGACAACTTCAGGTTTGTTGTAGTAGGAGACGAAGCTCTGAGAGCCCTGATTAATGGATAAAATAAGGGGAAAACCAAAGCTGTTGTCTGTAATACAGGATTTTTGCTGCTCGATGTTGAAGCTGGAGGGCCATAAGCTAATAAGTCTGACCGGATAATGGAAAAAGGATAATTCCAGTTATTTTTTCTGTTTAATGGATAAAGGAATACCCACTGACTACCAAGACGTTTCACATTTATTTACATTAGTGCTCACTTGGCAGCTGCGACTTTCAAGTAAAATAAAATCTGACTCCACAGCAATGCCATACGCAAATTACGACGGAACGCAGTGTAAATAAAGATGGAGTTTGTTATTTTTGGCTCTTAGGTATTATTTCTTTATTTGATAATATACTCGTAAAATGCAAACAATTACAAAAACGGACTTACCACTAACTGACTCAGCGCTTCGCCTGGTGTGTGAAAGTTTATTGAACGTATTAAAAAAATCCACTTATAAATACGGAACACAATTTTGATACATACATTGTTTTTCTTTTCAAAACCCACACTGCACTTTTTTTGTATTCAAAGAAAATGCTCAAAATCTCGTCCTTCACTTTCCACACAAGCTTCATTACGACGAACCCAGTTTCTTCTTACTCTAGGTCCTCGAAGTTGTCCACTTATTATTACAGCCGCATTAAACATTTTTTCGCGAAGTCGTGCTTCAGTTTTTATTGGACCAGCCCCATAAACCATCCCTTTAAGTTCTCCCCAATAGCAGAAATCCATCGGATTGAGGTCAGGAGATCTTGCTGACCATTTTCGAGGATCAGGAGCATTTCGACCGATCCAGCGATTTGGATGATGTTCATTCAAATACTGAATGACGCCTCTAAAAGTGTGTGGTAATGCCCCGTCATGAAGAAACCACAAATTCTGTCTCCGTTGTAATGGCATGTTGTCTAATGTCTATTCCAATAGTTTTGATAGGTTATTAGCTAGAAAGCTAGGGTATCCTTCTCCTGACAACTTTGGGGTAACTCGATAGAGCCAATTACCTGATCGTCAAGAATACCCGCCCAAATATTTACTTTAAAACGTTGTTGGAAATGACCTTCACGAAAGGTACGAGGACTTTTTTGGGCCCACGTGTGAGTATTATGGAAATTTAATATCCCGTCTGGCGTAAAAGTAGATTCGTCCGTCGCAAGGATGTTTTTAAAAAAATCCGAATTTTCAATGTTTTTGCGCAAAAACCACTGACCGAATGTTAGTCTGGGAGGATAGTCTTCTGGTAACAAGGCCTGCACTCGTTGTACATGGTAGGGATAGAGCAAATTTTCCAGTAGGATTCTATGGACTATGGTATGCGATAGTCCTACGCAGCGGCCTAAATCCCGAGTGCTGAATCTGCGTGGATTTCCACGATATTTAAGATTTCTTCCTCCTGCTCTACAGTAACCTGTCTTTCACGAGTGCGAATATTAGTGCGCTGAACACTTCCTGTATCTCGAAGTCATTGGCACACTTGCACTTCTGTCTGGGTGTACCCACTCGCGAAATCTGTCGCGGTACATTTGAGCTGCAGGATTTAAATTCTGACGAGCTTCACCGTAAACCAACATGTCGGCGAACTCTTGATTCTAGAACATAGTAAATAAACACGACGACGTACGCGAACAAAAAAAAAACAACACGCCCGATGCCCGATAACTAACCATTGTTACCCTTTACGACCGATTGCCGGTTCGATAAGAGTGATGAAAGGCCGACGCGCTGTTGTCATGTGTGTTATAAATATTTAATTTATTGAAAGTTACTTACTGACTACAAATTTTAGGTTAACTTAGAAAAACTTAATGCCATTCATTTGCTAATTACCCAATTTAAAAACGTTTTAGATTAGATTATAAAAATTAGTAAGACTGTGGTGCTTATGGTCGATATAAAGCGCTTAAAGTTGTGAA